CTAAGGGCTGGGGCAAAGACTGCAAATAGGCACAAGGGAGGTTTTTGGGGTGACAGAAACGCTGTAAAACTAGACTTTGGTGGTAATCGCACACCTCTATCAATATGATTAAAAAATTGTTTAATTGTATCCTTACATGGAGTGACTTTTATGGTCTGTAACTTACACCTCAATGAAGCTCTCTAAAAAGCATACCTCGGTCGGGTGCTGGGCTCCTGCAGCAGCAAGTAGCTGAAGCTTCCCGAGGACCTACTCTGTGGCAGGCATTGCTCTTGGCCCTACACCTGCATTAATCTATCGATTCCTCCATCAGCCTTTTGGGGTGGGTGGTGGTATCCCCACTGCACAGAAGCAGCAACAGGACCAGGTTAGGAACCTGCCCGAGATCACAGAGAGTGGTGGTGGAGCCGGACTCCGGGCTCCAGCACTTAGGCATTCCTCAGCCAGTGTCTCTGGGATCAGGAATGGCTAGGCCAACAGTAGCTGTCCACTTCTCCAAACAGCAAACATTCCCCAAACGAGGGCCAACCCTGTCCCCTTTTCAGTGCCTCTTCCTCTTCCCCTGCAACCTGTCTCCTCCACCACCACTCCTTGCTACCCTGGACTATCCGATTCACTACCGGGCTTGTTCTTGCATCTAGAACACTAGCCAGGGAGTTCAAGATGGGCTTGGATAAGCCAGATTTCCTAGGAGCTGAAGCTTATTCCGCAGTGGCTCTTGAGGTTAACTCCTTTTCCCCTCCATAACGCCGGAATGCTTTTCACATGAATTACACAGCTCTTTGCAAAATAATGTAAGCATAATCATTCTGTACATTTACAGGATCTTTACAGGAAGTACAGAGAATAGGAATGAGGAACATACACATGGTTTTCAGAAAGCAACCTGAACATTGCCATTCCTTCAAAAGAACCTGTTCTATACTCTCTGGCCTGAGGCAAATACCTAAATCTTTCCCAAGAAATGCATCATGAGAACCTTAACAGGCCTGGACACTCAGGTCAGGGAAGGATAATGCTCTTGATCTGAGATTACAAGGGATTTTTGCCCCAGTTCCTCCCCAGCTCCTGGAGAGAGCACTTCTTACAGAGTGCTGACTTGGAAGAGCATGCAACTCAAATCAACATTTCCAGTACAGCAAAGCAGTGGTGGTGTGTGCAGGGCAGGGGCATTAAGGGAAAAAAGCAAGTGGTTTCCCTCAATCAGGACTCTTTCCCACTGGGTGAGTGAGCCCGGGGTTGGCTGGGTATGAGGTAGATTTCCAGCGGTCAGCCACTCAACGGAACACTGAAGCCTGGGGCTTTCTCAACTGCTGTCAATTGGCTTCCCCTGGCTCCTGTGGCCTTGGGTGAGGATGATGGACAACCTTGAAAAGGTTCTGAGATAAAAGCTTCCTTGTTCCCCTTGCAGATCACACGGAAGACTCTGAAGGCAGAGATCAGCCTAATTAGGGCTACAGCGCTCCTACAGTTCCAGGGACAGGAAACTTAAGCTGCCACCAATCTTCAGAGCTCGAGGCTTTCTGTTCACACCAGAAACACCCTTCACTCCAGTCTCCCTGCTCTTTGATCATATTCTAGCTGCAAAAATAATGAACACCCCGAGCTCTAAAATACTGAGACCTGGAGAGAACTGTTAGAGGCTAAAGCCCCAACCTGTGACTCAATGGGGTCTTGACTTCCCATCTCCCCTCTAAAGTTGGGGGAACATTATGGCTTCAACAAATTCCTCCAGGATTTGTGAGGCCTGGGATAAGCTCAAAATCGGCCTCTTTCTGGCTTGTGTAGCAGCACCGAGAGAATGCTTAATAGGAAATGCCCCCCACACAAGATTCCTAGAAGGATTTTCCTAAAATACCAATCTGAGAGTCTCACTGCCCTCATCCTGCATTAACACTCTTCAGCTTCCTGGGGCGCCTGGGTGGCTCAGTCGTTAAGCGTCTGCCTTCGGCTCAGGTCACGGTCCCAGGGTCCTGGGATCGAGCCCCACATCGGGCTCCCTGCTCTGTGGGAAGCCTGCTTCTCCCTCTCCCACTCCCCCTGCTTGTGTTCCTGCTCTTGCTATCTCTCTCTCTGTCAAATAAATAAATAAAATCTTTAAAAACAAAAACAACAACAAAAAAACACTCTTCAGCTTCCTGTTGTCCCACAGTCAAACCTGCGTTTTTCGGCTGAGCCTCAGCATCTTCTCATGAAGTGTTTCCTCCTCTAGCCCTGTCTCTTACATCATATCTCTTAGGTGACAGCTAAACTTCCCATGGTGAGTTCACCATGCTTTCTCTTTTCTCCCCCAGGCCTTTACATCTTGACCTGTATAGTCCTTCTCATACCCCCTCAGTCTGCTGTCAGGACCCATCTCCCACAAAATGCTGCTGGACACACTCCCCCCAGCTCTCCCCCTTCCCCGCTCTGCAGGCTGAGTGGTGCGATCCCTAAGCATCCCGGTGACATCACTGTTACAGGGCCCAACCCTATGGCAGTGGCACTGCCTGTGGGCCTGACTGGCTTCTCTGGGAGGCCCAAAGCTACCTGAGGACGGGGACTCGTCCTGACATCTTCCCGACCCCCCAGCCCAGTCCACAGCGCACTCCAGCTGACAGACATTTACCCAGTGGACGGGGGAATCAACCATAGCAGGCAAAAGAGAAAGCTCTGGATTTCTGAGAACTGTGGGCTCTGCAGGGTCTGTGCTGAGGAGCTAGTGGGCAGCGCAGTTTTATCAGCGTGTATCCCAAATCATAAAGTCCAAGATGAGCTTCCTGGCTCCGGGGATGCACGAATGAAAAGCACAGGCACGTGCACACACTCTCCTTTAAATGGGAGTTACTGTGTACCTACTGTGTGCCAGGCAGGGCGCTTGGGCTATGGGGGTGAATGGACCAGGCATGCTCCTGCATTATGGAGCACTGTGCCAGGTCACTGTGGGGAATGGCACCTTCCTGTTGGAAAGGAAAGCTGGTAATAGATTTATAGACAACGGGCCACATGAGAACTTTAAAGGACGGGCTGCGATTCAAGAGTCTTCGGATAAACTTAAAGAGTCTTCTACGTGGTGGTGAGTAAGCATCTTTCCTGAGAGAAAGTGGAGACAGGAGAGGAGGAAGTGGGTTTCAGAAGCGGCTTTGGGGACCCTGGTACAATCTCAGCTCGATTCCTGTGATGGTGGTAAGAGGCAGGAGAGCTTAAAACTCCCTGCCAGAGGAGAAGCCGCAGCTCCTCTCGGCACCTGTGGGAAAGTGAATGAAGGTGGGAAGTCCAGCTCCACACACCGGCCCCCGCCTGCTAGGACACGCCTGCGCTCAGACCAAACCAGCATCGAACCCGGAGTCCACGATGTGTGAGCCCACGACCACAAATCTTGGTCCCCGTCATCCAGAGCGTGGGGCTATTCCTGCCACCTCCCGGGATACTGTGAGGACTGAGCGAGACAACGCGCTGGGACGTGTTCGGTACGCACTGCAGTGCAGTCTGCACATAAAAGGCTGCCCGGGTTAGGGTGCTGATGTGGTCACCGTCAATCAAGGCACTACACAGACTGAATGAAGCGATGATTCAGATGCTTAGCTCTTGTGGTAAAGTCGGGTGAGTCATATTATATTGTATTATATGACATCACAATATAATTATACACTGTGACAGGATACATAATATCATCTATTAAGTAATCAACAGTATCAGTTTGCATTTACGGAGCACTATGCGCCAGCCCTGTTCTACGCACTTCCTGCCCTAAGAGGTCTACTATTGCCCTTATTCTACAGGAGAGGAAACTAAGGCCCAGAGAGTCTGAGTAACGCACCCAAGTCATAAAACCAAAAAATTGTGAAACCAGATGGCGGGGCTGCAGAGCATGGCCTCTGGCCACGAACAGGCACCCAGAATATCACACACGCTGCCCTGAAGCCTGTGCCCACCGCTCTCTCTCTCCAATAGCAGCATCCAGGACTGCCCGGGGCTCTCCAGCCTGTCGCCGCAAACCTTCCCTTAGAAACCTACCTGGGACCTCTGGTCTACACTTACTTACATTTTCAACACACCACTGCTATTTTAGCCTGCACGGTCCTCATCCCCTATTGTGTAAAGATCTTCTGATCATCCCAAGACACTCTGCTTTGCCTTTTAAGAGGAGACCCCCTGCCCACAGGGGTTCTGAATCTGTCTATTTGTAGCTCTGAGCTGCTTGTGAGGACTAAGGAAACAGAATGATGCCAATGGTGCTCTTGGCCTTTACTGCCATGAGAGCACAAGCCAGAGTTTGCAAGCTCTGTTGGGGGTGGTGGACTCTTGGGCCCCCCTCCCCCACTTTAGCACTGAAACCCTCCTTTTATCTGTTTTATACTTAGGCTTCATGTAAAGTTTCATTTGAAAAGGGGTCGTGTTTGAAAAGATATTTGAAAACCACTAAAAAGTCCTAACATATTTGGAATTATTGAACATATATTAAAAGAATGCTTAGAAACCCCTGGTTTCAGCCCCTGCTGTTCTTAGGGTGAGAAACGAAGATCAGGCAGGATCAGTGAACAGTCTCTCTGTCCCTCTCCCCACCCAAGTCCTCGTGATGTCCCTCCGAACCCATTCAGGGCACAGGTCTGATGGTTCAGGACAGCTTTACCTTGACCATCCAGTCTCTCCCATTCTAAGTTTCCATTTTGACCTTCCACCATCATAAAGAACATTCTTTTTAAATTTTTTTTTTTTTTATTTTTAAGATTGTATTTACTTATTTGACACAGAGAGAGAAAGAGTGTGAGCACAAGCTGGGGGAGCTGCAGAGGGAGAGAAAGAAGGCGGCTCCCTGTTGAGCTCAATCCGAGAACCCCTGGGATCATGACCTGAGCCAACGTCAGACGCATAACTGACTGGGCCACCCAGGTGCCCCCAAAAAGAACATTCTTAACCCAAGGGCAGACTAAGTCCCTTGGGTGACCATGACAGTGCATGCTTCAAAATTCCATCAAGCCATTACCCAGCTTCTGGAGCCTTCCAAAGCAGGAAAATAACCACAGAAACATGATGAGCTCTTAGCTGTTCATGAGAGCCCCCTGGCGTGATGGGTTAAAAGGACTTCTGAAGAGCCTTACCTGTTTTTCAATGAAAGCGTTGATTCTCTGTAGCATTCCCTCACATGTGAATTCGTATGGCATATATGGCTCAATCTGTGGAAATAGACCATGGTATCATGAAAGAGGAGGACACAGAACCTAGGACACTTACCCAGTCCTCCCCTGATTCACACACACTCACGTGCCTCAAGAGGGGCTACGACTACGAACTTGGATGTCAACAGACCTGGGTTTACAAGCTCACTCTACTCCTCGCCAGCTGTGGGACCCTGAGCAAATCACCCCCCATCTCTGAGCTTCAGGTTCTTCATGTGCCAAACGGAGACAGGAAAAATCTACCTCTTTTAAGCTGTGGTGAAGGTTATGTGAAAAGAAAAAAAAGTAAAGTGCTTAGTTTGGTGTCTAGAACACAGTAGGCATTCCCCAAAAGGTGGGGAGTATCACTGGTTAGAGGTTAAGCTCCACAGGGCAGGCTCCATGGCCACGGGGCTGTGGGGCTCACGGGGGAATACAGCAAACACCTGCTGAATGGATGCTCAATGCTAGGAGGGCACGTGATGAGTGGTTAAGGAGCCAGGATGATGACAAAAACACTGGTCTGCACTTGTAGGTGAAGTTAGCACATACCTAAAGAACTTGTGGGGCAGAAACAGAGTCACAAAGTGCCACAAAGAGTTCAGCCAAGAGGCCCAGGAGGCTATAAAGTCAAAGCACACTTCCACTCATGCTGGGCTTTTAAAGCCAGCTAGGATTCCAGCAAGCCAAGATGTGGAAGCCATTCCAGGTAGAGCGAGTGGTAGGAGGTGAGACAGGCAAGAAGAATAGCAGGTGGGTAGAGCTTGGGATCGCAAAGGCTGGAGACAAGGCTGGGAAGAGGTTCACCGGATTTCCACAAAAGGATTTCTATACTAAGGAGCCCAAGCTTTATTTGAAGGCAGGAGGAAATCCCAGAAGGTGCTTCTCTGGGGTGGGGGAGGCAATGTGATCATTGTTTGGACACCTGGGGAAGGAGAAGACATGTGGGTTTGATCTCTGCTGCACAGCGTGTGTGCCAACACTATGAGGCTTGTGTTTTGGGGGCATCCAGCAAGTATTACCAATCTGAAATGGAAATTTTACTTTTACACTTGGGACAAAATCACTACCAATCCAGTCTGACAGCTTCAGAGAGCCCAAGAGCACCTGGGAGCAGCAGGACAAAGGGCCGCTGCTTAGACCTACACTTGCCGATCTCAAATTTACAGGGTGGAGAGCTGGAGAGAACACCTGTGAGTTGAGGCCTGTGGAAAATGGGACAGTTGACAGAGAAGTCATCCTCCCGTGGGCAGCCAAGCAGCTGGTCACAGGGCACCTTCTCCCCTTTTTTTGTATGTCGATTCACACATTACATATGAACTCTTCTTTAACCATGACTATTAATTTCATAATACATCTTCAAATCCACAATCATATAATGCATCACACAGGTTTTATCTCAGCCATCCCTGCCTACATCCGTCCAGAGAGAGCTAAAAGAGGCTGAGTCATAAGTATGATACTACCGGGGCAGGACTATTCTGCAAGAACACAGGTCATCTCGTTCCTCAATAGATCACCTCAGAAGAGCTCAAAATACTTAGAAAACTGACTTCAATGTTGCAAGCCTGCTCCTTCTCACCTCAAGCTTTTGCACGTGCTGTGCCCTTTCCAACCCAGACATAGCTCTTCACACCAAAGGCAAATTTTTCTTTCCTTTCAAAGGATATTTATTTATTCAACCTGTGGGTGATTCCAGAGGCTTACTAGGACTGGTCTACAGATAGGTCTCCTCTCAAAGGTTCACAGAAGGAACAGAAAGAAACCACAGCAGAGGACTTGGCATATCAGGCTCATTTATGTGGTGACAAGTAGAATTTCTGGAGTGAAATAACCATTGGTGGTCATCTGTCACGACATCAACAGATCCAATTATGTGGTAGGAAGGAGGCTGAATATTCAGGGGCCATTCCTACAACTTATTCCAAAGGGCATCCTTTAGAAATCCTTTAGAAATGGAAATGAATTCTCTCAAAGGGCAATAAATTATTTCAAATGCAATAAATACAGAAAAATGGCTCTTCCTGTGTCCTCCTACTAACCAAACCCAATTTAACCAAAGGGATGCTGACTCATTAATTACTTGGTGGCCTGTTCACTGTTTTAAATAATATGAAGCCAAATGACTTTCCTATAAAGGAAAAGCAAACAAACAAACAAACAAAAGGTAACTGTATTCTTAAACCACCCCTGCCAATGGGTTCCACCAGCCATCCTGCTGTGGACAGGAACAGGGCCCTTTGTGCGGGAAAGTTGTCCAGACTCCTGGCTTTGGATATAAAAGAACTCTGGCAAGCCTCTGAGGTAGGAGCTATTGTGGGGACTGGGGCAGGAGACCTGGGATAATTTTCTGCATGATAATCCTTCAGGAACAAGTCAAGACCTCCTTGTGGAATGGAATGAAAGGGAATGCTGAGAGCACATCCAGTTATGGAGAAACCGAAGTGGGGCCAGTTGTGGAGAAACAGGGAAAAGGACCGCTACTCACATGGCCACAGGAAGGAAGCCTGTAGGCTACACTGTGTACTTCCTGCTGGCCCTGGAAACCTTCCATTATCTTCCCACCTTTTCCTTCCTTTTCTCTTTATCTCCCTTCTTGTGAGATGTCCTGTCTCTTCTAGTACCCACTCACTGCTCTAAGTCCGAGTACAATTCCTACAGGGAACTGCTCTCAGAGATCAGCTGACCCTGGACAGAGGTGGCTTGGCATCACTCAATGAGAGGTGGTCTTGGAAGGTACCAGAAGACCAGAAGTTGGGTCCTGACTGTCTCCTCTATCTACTAACCAGAGAATTTTAAGTCAGACATATTCTGCAATTTCTCTTGATGATTTCAAATGTAAACTAGGTCATGCCATTCCCCTGCTCAAAACTTCCTGTCATACTTAAAATAAAAATCCAGAATTCTTAGCATGACCTGTTTTAAAGGCCCTACACATTCTGCCTCCGAGGGACCTTTTTTATGGTCTCCATTATTTCTGATGAGAAGTTGGTGGTCTTTCATACTGTTATCCCCCTAAGTGTAATAAATTTTTCTCTGGCTGCTTTCAAGACTTTTTTCCCTAATTTTTTTGTTTTCAGCAGTTTGGCAATGATGTATATTTGTTTTTCTTCATATTTATCTTGCTTTGGGTTCACTGAGCTCCCAGGATCTACAGGTTGATGTCATTCATTCATTTCAGAAAATTCTTAGCCATTATCTTTTCAAATATGTCTTCTGGCTATCCACTCCTCCTTCTGAGATTCTAATTATACATAAATTGGGCTGTTTGATATTGCCCCATAAGTCTCATGTTTTTTCTTAATTTCATTTTTTCTCTTTTTGTTTCAATTTGGAAAATTTCTCTTGATAAGTCAATATCTTGATAAGATATTGATAAATTCACTGATATTTGCCTCTGCTGTGTATACTCTGATGATAAGGCCACTGAAAGAGTTCTTCATTTCCAATTATTTTTTAAGTTCTAGCATTTTTTCCTTTGGTTTTGAGAAAAAGTTTCTAGCTTTCTATTGAAATTCCCCATCTGTTCACATATACTGTCCACCTTTTTCACCAAACCTTCTAATACATTTATCTGAGCATTTTGAAGTTGCTTTCTAATAAATTCCAACACATCTGGGCCATCTCTAGGTCTGGTTTTAATGAGCGTTTCCTCTCTTAATGACGGGTCATTATACCTTGCCTTTTTGAGTGTCATGTAATTTAAAATCTTGTAATTAAATATGAGAAAGCCTGGCACTAAATTTCTGACCCATTTCTAACAAGCGTAAGGATTTTAATGACAATAGTTTTTGTATTAATCTCATTACTTACTTCACCTCTCAGTCCCACTCTTATCTTTCCCTTTACTTCTTTCCATATTTCTTTTCCTTTCTAAACTTTATAATGCACTAGTCAAAAAGACCTAGGCTTCAATCCAGGTTTTTACTACTTACTAGCTGTGTGATCTTGGGTAAATTACTTAATTTCTTTAAACCTCAATCTTTTTATCTGTAGAAGAATTATGTGAGATAACGATTGAGATAAGGCTCATAATGATTAAATGAGATAAGGCTCATAAAGATATAGAGAGATTCCAGATGTGTAGAAAGAGATTCTCTCTACATAAGAGCTACTATTATAATTACTATTTTTCTCACGTGGTCTTGAATAATTTTTGGAATAAGGTGGAAAAAGATCGATCAGAGTTTTAAAATGTAGAGCACTAGAGGTTCCATGGAGTGAAGAGAGTCTATCTCATGTAGCAATGAGCAAATACAACTCAGTGCCTCACTCTGTGCTTTCTGTATCAGGCATTCCCATTAGATTTTTGTTTGACAAAAGGGATCTATCACCTAAAAAGTTTTGTACTCCATGATCCAAAATCTTCTGCCTCTACGTTACCTTTTCAATTACTCATTTTTCAAGGGTATGTGCACTTAACCAAGTGTTGTGGGTTGAATTTATGTCCCTCAAAAAGAAAATGCACAAGTTCAAACTCCCAGCAGCTGTAAATGTGACGTTATTTGGAAATAGGGTCTTTGCAGATGTAATCAAGTTAAGATGAGGTCCCAATTAGACTGGGGCCTAATCCAATATGACTGATGTCCTTCTAAGAATGGCAAAGACAGACACACAGACACACAGACACACAGGTTAAGGTGCTGCAGCTGCAAGTCAAGGAAAGCCTGGGGCCACCAGAAGATGCAAGAGGCAAGGAAGAATCCCCCACTACAGGCTTTGGAGGGAGCACGGTCCTGCTGACATCCTAATTTTGGACTTCTAGTCCCTGAAACTGTGAGAGAATAAATTTCTGTTGTTAAAGCCACCAAGTTTGCGGTTCTTTGTTATGGTAGTCCTGAGAAGCTAATACCCTAAGGGACTCAGGGACTCAAGAAAGAAAGATAGAACCATCAGCCTCCATAGGAATGACTCTCTGGTGGTGAAGCTCTGGCTGTGTGGCAGATATTCTGAGGCAACCCAGTGGGGCCACATTCCACTCAGCCTCTTCCCCTTTACTCACACTGTGCCTTGAACCCATGTCCTTCTGGTCCACTTCTCAGTTCAGCTTTGCAAATTCCTACTCTTCCTAAAAGACTTAACCCAGTGCTGCACTTTCCAGAAAGCTTCCTCCAACGTCCACTTCTCCATCTCTTGCATGTTGTTGTTGGCACTGAACACATTCGGCAAATACCTATCCCTCCCTCTCTCAATCCATTAGGTGAATCACTATGCTGGGTACAGAGTACAGCAGTGAGACAGACATATTTCCGGCCTTCATGTTGCTGGCAGTCTAGTGTAAATTCAGACTGTTGATCACAAAAATAAGAATATTATACGTGTAATACTAATAGTGACTTAATAAAAACAACTAAACACTCACTATGTGGTAGACGTTCCACTTAAGGGCTTTATATTCATTATCTCATTGACTCCTTACAAATACCTATATAGTAGGTACTACTACTTAAAGAGATGAAGAAACTAAGACTCAGAGGTTAAATAACTGCCTGAGGGGACGCTACTAGTAGGTGGTCGGGCTGGAACCCCAACCCCAAGCTAACTGCAGCCTGTACTCCTTACAACCATGCCTCTACTGCCTCTCCTAAATAACTGTTAACAGAGTATAGTGTTCTAGTAGGAGGAGTAGAGAGAGCAGGGTGCACCCAATAGTGTGGAAGGCAGTCGGGGGGGTTGGGAGAGGTTAACTTGGCCCATCCCCACTGGGCAGTAAGCCTCCTACAGGCTGGGAGCCAGCCTCAATTATGTTTATGGAAGTGAGTGTCCCCTAAAGTGGCTCAGAGGGTGCTCTGCCTACAGTAGGTACTTAATAAATGTCTGCTAACTTGATCAGGAGAATCCAGAGATGTCAGTTACTTATAAATACAAAATTCTATTAAGATGTTTAGGTAAAAAAAAGTCAAATGAATAAATGCTATATAAAAACATTTCCCAGTATTTCCTTAATAGCTCCTATCGTTCTTACTTTTTGGTAGGGGAGCTGGTTTGTGTTTTCTGATCTCTGTGAGAGCGACCATCATTAAGCAGTGAAACAAATGTAATTCAACCTCCTACTATTGTATCTGGGACCCAGCAATCATGCCAAAAGGTTCTGGAGAGTCCACGCACACAGGGGCACCAGCTCTGTTCCCACCCTCCAGTGCACCCATGAACCCTCCCCGGGCCAAATCCTACACTGCGGCTCTTTTCTAATCTCAGAGTTAAGCTGACATGGAAATGTTCTAATCATTCTACCAGAGGGCCTGTGAGGCTTTCCACACATTCCAGTTCACAGCACAGATGGGGAAAACGGAAAAAAAGATACAACCTTCTGACTTAAAATTGCTTTCACGGCATCTCCCACTTCCTCCTGATTGCTGAGGTCAACCGTCCAAACGTGGGGCCGGCCGATGAAAACTTCAGCATAAGGATGCTGGGATGTCAGCTGGAAGAGAAAGACAAAGCAGCTCAGTCTCACAAACTTTTTTCTTTTTTTTTTAAGCCTTCTGTGCTAGATGAAGCGTTTTGTTTTTATGGCATTGTACTTTCGTAGCTAACAAGACATTTTTGTCCTTCCTTGATGATCAAAACCTCCTGAGGACCCATAAGTAGAAAACAATAAAAGAGTGAGAGCTCCACATCTTGAATCCCACTTGGAAATGTCAAAACCAGGTGCCACAGTGGCTGTTACAGGTGGTTCCGACCCCCAAAGCTGCACCAACTGGAACAGTTAACTCTTGGTCATATCGCAGCCCTGAAAATCCCCTTGGTCTAAGTAGTATCTGTTACAAGACACAGGTTAGGACACACAGGTAAGCATGAGAAAATTATAATAAAGCCAAAAGCTTTAAAGTCATAAGAAGATGAGTAATGGCACATACGAAATGTGAAGAAAGAGAAATAAGGCTACCAGAAAAACAGAATTTTGGAATGGTTTCAGGACGAATCATTAGCATCATGTTGGAGCCTTAATACTGATAAAGACAATTCGGATTCAGCAAAGCTCTAAATTCGGAGGTTTTATTTTAAGAACAAAGGGTCCAAAGAAACCCAGGATGAAAGCTGGTGATTCTCCGTTCCTGAAGCGTCCTTCCTTTGATAGCTAAATTTACCACCACCCAAACTGGCTTCCACCTTTATGCTTGTATCCCTTTCAGGGAGTAATGGGAAGGGAGCTTTCTGGACATTGGTGAGAGCATTTTCAGTTCTCCCGAAGACTGGGGGTGCTGCCTTGAGCTGCGCCCGAACCTATGGCTGAGGACCGGGGGTTGCAGATGGCTCACGAGGCTCTAAAGTCCTGCACGAGGGGGGCCGTCCGCTCCCCATTCAGCTTCCGCCTGCCCCGCAGGGCTTCCACATGGGGTCACAGGATCCAACTCTCTGGCACAGTTTTAATATACATTGAATTTCCCAGGAATGTAATTACCATGTAAATCAAGGGATGTTTGTACTGTGTTTTCTTTGGAACTTCACCCATAAGCTGTTAACCACTTTGGAAAAATCAGGGCAGCCGAGTCAATGTCACTCAGATGAGGTGAGTCTCCATTACGACATACCCAAATCAGTCTGTATTTGTAGCTCTCACATTAATGGCAATTGCATATGTATGTATACATATATATATATGTATAGGCACTTTTTAACTTAGCTTCTCTTTTATAATATCACTTATAAGCAACCATAAGCCCTTACCAAATAAGGGCTAACCATATTCAGCTGAATGCTTTATTCTTCTTAAGTACAAACTTACTCATTGTAAAGAGGAATGAGACATGTTTTCTACTATAGTTCTTGGGTATGGCATAATATTCCTTGACTATATATATACTGAAATATGTATTTCCTTATTGAAAATTATTTTCCTTTATGTTAGAGCTAGGGAATCATTCTTTTTTTTGAAATTACATATGTAGGCAGGGTATATTATTTATGAATTTTATTTCAGGACAGAAAAGTAGATCTTACAATATACTTGTGGGAGAAATACAGGTGTTGGGTCTGGTAGGGTTGAGGCTGTTTCTTTAGAGGTGAAGCTGGTTCTCTTTTTCTTCAGACTCCAGTATACACAGAGGACGGGATGATTTAACTGGCCTCTCTCCATCTCACTCCTAGCCACCATTCTTCGTATCCTACCCTCACCAACTGTGTGCGCGCAATACTTAGGGCAGGAAACCCAGAGTTTAAGTTACTGGGCCTCAGCTCCCAGTTGTCATTGGTACCCTCTCTCATGGAAATCATGATTCTCTCTCTCTCTCTTTTTTTGAAGAGTTATTTATTTGAGAGAGAGAGAGAAAGTGGGGGAGGGGCAGAGGGAGAGAGAGACTCTTAAGCAGACTGGCTGCTGAGTGTGGAGTCCGACATGGGGCTCGATCCCAGGACCCTGAGATCATGACCTGAGCTGAACTCAAGGGCCAGACACTTAACTGACTGAGCCACCCAGACGCCACTGGAAATCATGATTTTGAGGAGAAAATATCCTAGACTTTCCTCCTGCCTCCTCTGCCAGAATCACGCCCCTTGCTGGCCTGTTCAGTTCCCCATTCTTCTGACACGTACCCTCTTCTTTCGCTCAGCCACATGGTCAGTGATAGAACCTACAGAGTGACCACAGCCCCTCATGGAGCTGGGGAAGAATCCTTTTCTCTTTTTTTTTCCTTCTCAGCACACATTTTAGATTCAACACATATCAGTGAAGCCCCTGGCTGGCTCAGGCACTGTGCTGATGACCCGCATATGCATTATTTATCATGTTTCCTGTGTATCAATCAGGATTTTGAGATTTACAGGGGTTTACAATTCTGCAAGACCACACAGCCAGGAAGTAGCAGGGCAGATTCAAATTGAGGTCCTTCAACAACGCATTAGCTTTGGACGGAAAGGAAGATGACAATTTTACAGTACCTACAGGGTTCTTAAGACAAAGGCGAAAAGAAGCCCAAAGTAAACTCCAGTCTTTTAATCACGCTCCTAAAACTTGCCAAACTAAAAAAAAATCCCAGGATTGAATTTATGCCTGCAGTAGAGCTTTTCTGAAGACGAGCAAAATGTCACTCCGTTTTCACTTGGTGGCCTGGAGAACAAACTGATTAAATCTTCCAATGGAATCAGGGGGTAAATTAAAGTTGTCATCAATGTCACTATGCAGCCACTTAAAAATTGGCAGTCTCTCCCCCCTCCCCTTCATAAGGTCCTTGCTTATTTGCAAGGTTGCTCTAAGCACTTGGAAAATACAGAATGCTGAGCCATTATCATTTTATTCATTTATATTTACTGAGGGTTACTAAATTTTAACGAGTAAGGCATTTTGTAATTCATTATTTCCCCTCTGAATGTTATGCTCCTCCCTGTTAATTTATTGAGAACCGTCTGATCTGAGCTACTTCACTGTATATCAATCAGCAAATTTACTGGAGTATAGTTTGTAAAAGTAATGAAAATCTTATTAAATATGAGACATTATTATAGAGTGGCTACTACATTTCTAAGGAAAACATGAGTTCTCTTTATGGAAAAAAACCCTGAAGCCAGAGAATTTCTAACAGTTTACAAAATGTCCAAATAATGATTAAGAACCTACTAATGTGTTTCCCAATATAAAGATAAAAATCCAATTTATATCACATTGAAAGTATAACCTGAACCGACCACATTACTTAAGGCATATGGAACTTTTTCCCTTGAGTATACATCGTGGTTTTAAAAATTGGTCCAATGTAAAAGACAAAACTGTCAGGTAGAAATTTAGACTTTTTGTCTCCAAGGCAAAGAAGGGACATATATGCAATTTATACAGATTGATTTATATGGATCAATTGTTGCTTAACTGGAAAAACTAGCAAGGGCACAAAAAATAGCTTTGTAATTATGTCCACTTTGGTTAAAATTTTTCCATTTGCAGAATAAAAAAAAGAATAATTGATTTCTAGGGATTTTTGACCCTTGGGCTTCTATAGGACTGTTGATAGCACTCTCCCAGTGAAAAGCGGTTTTGGTTAGGGGGATTTTGTGGCTTTTGTGGGCTGAAAGGGCAGAGTGGGTGGCCCACCTGGCCTTGAGGTCAAGTTCACTGGGTCCTCCCAAAGCTGGCTCCCAGCCTGCTCTCTGCACTGTCTCCCGCAGAGAAGGAGACAGACATCAGATGGAACCTGCCCTCCTGCATAAAGCAGAGTGACCTTCTCGGGATTTCCCTCCAACTCATCAACATTCATGCCTTTTAGGCTTGAACCCCACCCCCATCTCCTTCCTTCCCTTTACAGCACAGCTCCTCCACCATCCCCCTTTCAGTTAACCCACCACATTCTCCACCTGGCACAATTCCAGGCTGACACTCCCTCCTCAACTTCGCGAGTTCTTTCTGTATCAAAACCTGAGCTCCTGGAAAACAGGAAACGGGTCTTGATAAGTTTCCCCAATGCTGCAGCTAGTACCCTGGGCCCTGTTGGGGACACAGCGCACATCTGCCAACTGACCTTTGGCATCCCAGCCCTCCTGTGGGAGCCCAGGACTGATGGAGTCATCCGTGTGAGGTCACTTTCAGAGCAACTGAGAGGACCCCACAGTGTCATTCTAACTAGAGTCCCATTTAAGCATAGGCAGAATCATCTGAGGGGATGGGAGGAACCAAGCACCTGGGGGTGGGGGCAGCTCTAACGCCTATTCTCTTCTTATGCCATGAAGAATGAAAAGCCTCCACCACCTCACTGAGAAGCACATTACTAAGTGATGACAATGGACAGGAAATGATGAACATCCTTTCCTCAATAACTTAACACGGGCTGGTCTGATCTTGGTGACATTACAGCACTCACTGGGAAATGGATTGTGGATGAGTGTCCTCATTTTCTTTCTTTCTTTTTTTTTTTTTCAGGAAAAAATAGTTGTAACAAAGTGTCATCAAAATCTTTAGAATTACTAATAACAAAAAGGTGCCGGTTGCCAATGTAGTCTAAGATACTTTTGACTGATCATTTCCCAAAGGCTCATATATAGAAACAGCAACGAGAAAAGACAGGTTTCTTAGCTCTTCACGTATTCAAAAAAAATCACAATGGGGGGGGAACCCACCATTAGAACTACCATAATAACTGTTGTAGGCAAGATCCGCCGACACATGGTAAAAATAAATGGGCAAAAGTTTGAAGAGAACCAGAACTATTTGCATAGTTTTGAAATATTTTTTCCAATATAGAGAAAAATAGTAACTTTATGGTGAAGAAACCCAGCAGGCACTACCTGAACCAGTAATTAGACTGAGATCATGGCGCCCCCCTCCCCGATATGACACACTGAGAAGGCCATACCACTTCTCTGACAGTCTTGCTAAAAATGCGTCATCTCAAACTAACCACTAGACAACATCCGTCAAATCCAAAGTGGGCAAGGGCCTACAAAAAGGCCAACTGGGACTCTTTCAAAGTGTCACGGTCGTGAAGGACAGTGAAGGACTGAAGAAGTGTCACAGACTGGAGGAGATTAAGGAGACACGGCAGGTAAATGCAATGTGGGGTCCTGGACTGGATCTCAGAACCGCAAAAGGATATTAGTGGGAAAAAAAATGGCCAAGTCCAGTTAGACTGTAGTTTAGACAACACTGTGATATCAGGGTTCATTTCTTAGTTTTGATAATTGTACTGTAGCTTTGTAATACGTTACCATCAGGGGAAGCTGGATGAAGGTGTTAAACACAAACTCTGTACTCTCTGTGCAACTCTTCCCTAAGACTAAAACTATTTCAAAATAAATAAAAAGTAAATTCCAACAACTCCACTTGTATATAGAATGAAAAGCAAGAACCCAAGCAGATACTTGTACACGAATGTTCACAACAGCGTTATTCACAACAGAGAAAAAGTGGAAACAACCCAAGTGTTTGGTAACAGATGAACAGATAAATAGAATGTGGTGTATTTACAGAACGGAATATTATCCAGGCCTCTACAAGGAATGAGATTCTGACACATGCTATGAACTTTGACAACATTATGCTAAGTGCAACAAGCCAGTCATGAAAGGATACTGTCTGATTTCACTTACATTAGGTACCTTCTAGAAAAGGTAAATTTAGAGAGAACATAGGTGAGAGGTTCCCGGTGGCTGTGGGGAGGGGAGAATGGGGAGTTGGTGTTTAATGAACACGGTTTCTATTTTGAACGATGACTAAGTTCTGGAGGTGGGTGGTAGTTATGGTTGCACACGACTGGGAATATACTTAATACCAGTGAACCATACACTTAAATGGTTAAAATGCTAAGTTTTAAATTATGTATATTTAATCACAACAGAAGTAAAAAAAAAAAAACAAAATTACAAATAATTATTCCAATGTGGGCAGAAAAACTTCAGAGATTTCTTACACCTAACTTAAAATGTAGGGATGATTTATTGACCCAAATTTTCTATCCTAAACTCTATCCTAAAAGTTTCAAAGAAGTCAGGAGCATGGTAGAGCAGAGATTCCTAAACTGAGATGTTCTCATTGCTGGGGAGCATCTCTTCAGATCATTCCAAAGAATAAGCTGTTCGGTGCCAGGCTGAACACTCCTGCTCTGTGCGCTGGTGTCTCACCCAACACCTGGCACACAGGTGTGCATTAGGAATTGCTGAGGAACGACTTCCCCAAAAGCAATGACTCCCTATAAGGAAGAATTCAAATGTACTATACGAGCAGAAGGAAAAGCAAGCATGCGAGTCAACACACATACAGTTACCTCTTGTCAGAGGCTGTGTGGGCCATAGATTGTCCTTTTTGAGGATTATCTATGGATCTCAATCCTCTTCCTCCACCTCCTTTGGCCCTTTCTCCAGTGGTCAGAAAAAAGCATTCTCAAAATAATAAGCTCTGTGAATTGGTAAGATCTTTGACTGATCAGTGAAAAATGATCATAGAAAAGGCATTCCAGGTTCTTTTGGGGGGAGGGGGTGTTCAGCCGACCCAGAAAGGTTTAAAAGTAGCAGAATTGAAAACCGTGTGCTTTAATCACAGCGCTGCTATACTGCAGCTACATCATGGGGGTCCACTGGGGTCGTCCCCCAGGTGGAGGCCCCGAATGACAGGGGCGCTACAGGACTCCAGCTTGGAGAGGCTTCCTCCTTGGGAGCAGCCCACAGAGCCACAGAAATAAGAAGAAGATCAATCTTATGGTTTCTTGCACACACCTGTTTCTGACTAGATACAGAAACACCAGCTTGATCACCCACATGCTCTAAATGACTTGTTGATTGCCCCAAATCGAATCCAACTGCCTTCAGTGGTGATTCATCACCTGCTGTGGATTTTTAAAGAGGATCTCTGACAGCAATTCAAATAAGGCTTCTGCCAACAGTTCTCACAATGGCAGGATTAGTTCTCAGGATGGTGCCTGCGGATGGTGGCTGAAAATACCAGGCACGTGACTTCAGTTGTCCATCATCTGTCTTGTCTCTCAGGGTTGACAGCGAAGGACCCCACGACACACTCTCTATTCCCCACAGCCCATCGCGGAGAGCACATTCTTCAAAAATGCCTGTTAGCCAGTGGATTTCCTTATTCCATAAATTCTAGACATTCAGAAAGTCAGACCTCAGCCACTGAGAAGGCTGGAGAGGTCTGTGTGAATTAGGGTAGAGCTGAGGCAGAGTGAAAAGATGCCACAGTTTGGAGAGGGGCAGAAGTAGATGCAAGTCTTGGCTGTGCCACCACCTGGTTAGGACAGGGCATCAGCCATTCCTCCCTGAGCCCCTGCGCAACCCCCTCCTTCCACCCAGCTATGTTAAATGACGTTGACAATACCTACTGTCCTTTAATGATGTTGACGATACCTACTATCCAAGGCTATGAAGTTGGAACGGGCTCCTAGCCTTCAGTAAGTAGCTAGTATTCACACTGTTAAAAGAAGAAGGATTTTTTTTATAGAGGCTTACCTCTCTCAGAGTTGGCTTGCCAATGAAAAAGTCTGTGTTTTTGCTGCTTTTGGGTGGGCTGAACTTGGGATTCAGAAAAGCACATCCATTTGCAATGGCCTCCAGGGGAGCTGGGCCCTCATAAGGGAACCCGAGTCCAACAAACAACTGTAAGACAGAAAAGCACACCATATATAAACACATCAATCAGGACTGGCGTCCCTGGCTCACAGGGGGCTATTCTGTGCTTCATTCCCATGTGGAAGCCTCAGACACTCTGGAAGGTTCCCAGACCCTGGGGGGGTGGGGTGAAGAGAAAGCAGCTCACATCAGGAGCTGAGAAACAGGACCGGGGACCTTTACAGGCCCAAGAAGCTGCTCAGCTCATTATGCTCTCCTCTGCAAAAAAAAAAAAAAAAAGTACAGAAATGAGCGTGGGGAGTGAGGGAGAGGTGAGCAGTTGAAGGGGTAGGGAGGCGGGGGTATTAAAAGAATAAAAAACAACAACAAAAACCAAGACCCAACAATAATCTTTCTGTAACTCACCAGGAGACATGACTGGAGAAACACTTGCTTAACTAAACAGAAGGTTTCTTCATTGAACCAAAGGAACAACAGGCCCTTTCAGGGATGCTGGGCGAGGGGGACAGAAAGGTCACTTGGCGGTTTGATTACAGTTCAAATGGAGCTGCTTTAAAATGACGGTAGTTCAGTAAACACAGGTTTTCATAATGGGGTTTTCACTGGGGGACACCAACAACTTTGTTTTTATCTCCCCGTCAGCGGAGGGGAGAGGGTGCTGAGTGGCTCCACCAGCCAGGCGGCTTCCCTCCTCGGCAAGTACACCACGCGCGTTCCCCACAGCAGACAACAGATGGCAGCCAAAACACACTCTCCAAGTCCTCCTGCAAACCCGAGCTCCAGAGCTGCTGGGACAAAGGGGCCTTGCTGCAGCTCACTGGCAATCATTCCTGGGTCCGAAACCGAAACAGCATCTCAGGGAAATGCCTCAGTGCAGCTCTTCCCCTCGGGACCCTTCACGGTGCTGGTGGGCGGGAAGCCATCGATGGCAGGGTCCAAGTCCGGCCTTGGGGAGGTGTGAGATCTCCCTACCACACCAAGGAGCCAAGGCTGAGATCACTCAGCCTTGGGAGACACATCCATCACCAAAGGATAACGGGGCCCCACGGCACCGTTCCCTTCTGCCATCACGCTGAGGAACACCCACGCAGCCAGGCCCCGAGAGTGAAGGATATTGGCGAAGTGGATACACGGCAGGCCTGATTGTCCTTTCACGGGGCCCTTTCCCCAGCGATTCCCTCTTTGCGGCTGCTTAAATGGAATTGCTTGCTTAGAATGGTTCCATGTGGAGAGACCTGAGTCCCGGCCGCTGGGTTCCCTGGGCACCACTGAGAGATGCAGGAAGTTTGTGCTGGGCACTCAGTTTCGGGACTGAACACTGACCATGGCCCATGCTGGACATACTGTAGCCCCCACAGGGATTTTTCTGGGACAAGAAACAAAAACCCCAGGTTTTTGAACTGTATATTCTTTTGCACAAAACAGGGCACTTAACCTTTGTTTGTTTCAGAGGAATAACCTTTCACTTCCTGTAAACTTCGGGATGACCAAATATACTGCCAGGGACATCCACTGGAGGAGTTGAGGAGAGCAGCTATGGGGCCAGCAGAGCTCTCACTGCCGGCCGGGGGCACTTTCCCTTGGGCAGAACCACTGGAGACATGGGTGAGGAACACCATGTGAGTAGGAGCCTGGAAGATGTAGAATAAAGGGGCATCTCCACCACCACTTGGAGGCCCTGTTTCTGGATTTTACTGTTATTTTTTAAAGATTTTATTTACTTATTTATTTGAGAGAGAGAGAGGGAGAGGGAGGGACTGGGAGGAGGGCAGAGGGAGAGAGAGAATCTCAAGCAGACTCCCAGCTGAGCTTGGTGCCCGATGTCATGACCTGAGCCAAAATCAAGAGTTGGACTCTTGAGGTGCCTGGGTGGCTCAGATGGTTAAGCATCTGCCTTCGGCTCATGTCACGATCCCAGGGTCCTGGGATCTAGCCCCGCGTCCGACTCCTGGCTCAGCAGGGAGCCTGCTTCTCCCTCTCCCTCTCCCCCTGCTCATGCTCTATCTCTGTGTCTCAAATGAATAAATAAAATCTTAAAAAAAAAAAGAGTTGGACTCTTAACCGAATGAGCCACCCAGGTGCTCCTGGATCTTACTCTTCTTAAGTAGCTGACAGGAATGAGATTATCAGAGAGAACTTAAGTGTATAGTGTGTGGCCTCAGCATGTGGCTCAGGGGTGGGGGGTGGGGGAGGATGCCTGATAGCAGCAGAAGAAATGGAAGGCAAGAGTGGGAAGGACTCATCCCAAGACATCACAGCTTTATTAAATATGAAGAATCCAGGGTTACCATCCTTCAGGCTTTTGAGCTCTGTGATCTGCCCTCCCTATCAGATTTTCAGGAGGATATGCAGGCTCTCCAGGGGAAAGATGACCTCTCTCAGGTTGCAGGAAAGCATAGGGCTTCCAGATCCTTTTCACTCTGAGAAGAAAGGTGCTGGAAGATGCAGATGGGGGGGCTCTGTGGGTTTAACCAGAGACCAGGAGCCCATAGTGTGTCCTGACCTCTGAAAATCAGGGCCTGCCATGAAGTGCTGATACCTTCATCAAACTTAAATTGCCAAGAACTTTGGAGAAAATGTAGGATGCACAATGATTATTTAAATAGAAAATCCTGGAAAAAAATTTAATTAGCTCCTTTAGACCAACCAATCTAAACCCATTAATTAAAAGTATATGGGGCTGTTGCTTAATGGACTTGAATGTGACCTAGGTTTAATTATATCTGAATAACAATTTGCACCATCTCGGCTGCCCTGCTGGCATCGAAACATCTCAGTACACAGAAAGTAAACATTTCGGGCTAACTCTCCAAAGCCTCACAATTTGAGAATGAAGCTTAAGCAAATACCATACAATTTCTTGGCAATGAGTTTTCTTGTCACGCTAATTAGGATTGCAGGAAATGCACAACTCAGAAACACCAAAATAACAGTTGTCATTTCTGTCAATAAGCAATTTTTTCTTGCTTCCTGTGTACTCAATACCTGTGACATTATAATGGAGCAGACAGATTAAGGTCAAATAGTACTCTTGAGGTTTGAATCACAAAAAGGGTAGGCAGAGAGAGCTCCTCACCAGCAAAGGGTAGCCCTTAAACTCCTGCGTCCCATGGCCTTGGCACACATGGGTGCCTTAACCATACTAAACTTCCTTCCCCCCAAGTCCCCAGCTTCCCCAGCACTGTGCTACTTACAGACATCCTCAGCATGGAGGCAAGAGACACATCACAAGAATTCATTCAAGCAGAGCTTCACTTTTCGAGAGGAAACTGGGCATATTTTATTTATACTTCATCTGGCCTTCAGAAGCCCTGAATCGAATGAGGGCATTCCAGATGACGGAACATTGTCATGGCTGCAATTCCTTCCCATCAATAAGCATTTCTAAACCCAGGGATTACATGCTCTACAATTAAATTTCTGAACTAATACTAAGCAAGAGAAAACGGATGAAGCACCAGAGATTTTATTCATGGCACAGGATTGGGACATTCCTACGTGTCCACAAACGGCTCAGTAAAACCACTCGGAGTCTTACCCTGTGTGAAAGGGAGAAACAGAATTGTTCTAAACCCCTAACTGGAGCAGTTAACAAGGAATCCTTTCAACATGGATCAAAGTGGTTCTTAGGAAGACTCCACATGAATTTGGTCAGTTTCCAGTCACTCTTGATGGGGAACATGAAGATAATCCAAAATAGAAGACACGCGCACCACGTAAACTTTTCTGACTAGCGTGACCTAGCTAAACTGGTGGAGCGGCTCAGGAGGGAGTCTGAACAATGAATCAATCTTAACTTATCCAATAAATTGAATTCTGGCACAAAGTGATCGGGACAATGTGGGAACTGACAGCACAGGGTCTAAACTCAGGCCGACCAAAGTTCAAACCCTGACAGCCTCACTTCCTAGTTCTCTGTGGGAAACTGTTACATGCCTCTTCCTATGGATTAGCTGAGGTCCATTATAACGTATTCTCTCCAGCTATGGGACCTCAGTCAAGGTTACACAAGCTCTCTAAACTGTCTTGTCATATGTAAAAATGGTGCAAATAATAGTGCTTTATTTCATGGTGTTGCTGAGAGGATTAAATGAGATATTTCATGGAAACGATGTATTCCAAGGTTTGGCACTGAAGTAAATGTTCACTGAACAGGAGTCAGAATCCAGATTCGACTTCATGCAGCTGCACACACACATGACCTTGTACTGTTTAGCTAGAGCTTAGGTGTGCCTGAGTTGTGGTTGTGCGGTTTACAAGATGCCTGGCACCTGCATGTGTATTTACGAGTTCTCACTATTCCACAAAGTACCTGGACTGAAATAAGGGGAGGGACATCCATCAGAAGAGTGAGAAGACATGGGTTATGGCGGCTGCCTCGTGGAAAGGCCAGTCCCATGAGCCATGACGTACTATTGCTAACCTTGTTTCTTCTTCATATAATGATTGGGAATCCCCCTATTTTTGGTAATATAACTTTAAAAAGAATCTTTATAGCTTTAAACAGAGTCCATATGGTAGCCGAGTATGGAGGAAATGTATTCTCCTGAGAGGTGATGCCTTCATGTAGCCTAAAGGGTCTCTCTCTGGACGCGTGTCTGCCCTTCTGCACTTGATGCTTGAAGAAAGAGAATAGTGGCCAAAATCTCTCCCATTCAGGTTTGGCTATTCCCTCTCATGGGCTGCCCATGTCCCTAACCTAAACTACAAGAAGATTCTCTTGTAAAGAGCTAGAAGGTTTAAAGGAGACAAGACAATGATATACACCAAGTATGTTTAAGTGCCCAAAGGTTGTCAGAATTGGCTGCTATGTCAAAGGCTATTTCCTAGAGACCAGCTCACTGGGTAGGCAGCCAGACTATCCTTGCTACCCAAGTGGTCTTTCATAAACAAAACCCAACACAACACAAACAACAATACCAAGACCAAAAGTTCACCCACTTCGGTCATTTGGAAATAGCAGTTCAAAATCCCATGCACTGCAATCTGCATTATAAATGCATTAACTTGGAGATGGGCGGTGGCTAAGAGAAATCTCTGGATAAGTTTCTAACAGTAGATGCCGACCATCTTCAGCTGTCCAGCACGAACTGTTTACTGTTTACAAGGTGCAAGGCAGCACAACAGGCCTATTCACCGTCGCATTAAGCATGGGCTCTCATGGTACTGAGGCCACAGGGTTCTTGTGACAAGAGAGAACTCACGGAGAGGGCACAGATAGGGTTAGAGAAAATGGCTAGGACTACTAGAGTAAATCTCCGTGACCATGTGCACCACGCTGACACGGATGCACCACGTTACAATTCGGCTGATAATCAGCTCCCGTCCTCCAGAGCAACCTCCTGCTCTTACTTAAGGGACATCACAAGTCACAGTGCAGTGTTTTGCAAGACTAGATGGCTGACCCTGCTTACAGCATCACAGAAGTTGTACATTGGTGTCCCTCTTCCTTCTTACTACCACTTCTACCTGTGCACTTTTCACATTGCAGTAAGTCCCCAGTTTACCTGTTTGTCTCCTCTACCACATCTGTGTAAACACTGGTGGACAAAACTGCCTTAGTCATCCTTGTAGCAAAAATGCCTGGAGTAAGGCCTGGAATGTATTTGGTAGTGAATACACATTTGTCAGAAAAATGAGCAAAAGAATAAATACTAATAGATGAGATCTTTCCAGCAGTCAAATGTCTCTGTGAGGATGAGGAGATGCTGAACGTTTTTGTGTGTATTTGAGTGTGCGAATGTGCTTTTGTTCCTGAAGCCAGAGAAGATACTGAATGACCTCGCTCTCCACTGCATTCTACACACGTATGTGGGAGGGCAAGAGGGAGAGAGGAGTACGTGTGTACCTAAATTTTCTTCCCATCTGGCTGGAATGGGAGTAATTTTAGGCATTGGCCACAAGGATGAAGCCTCCTTGACTATCTGAGGCTGCATATTTCTGTGTCTGAAATGGAAGATGGAAGATGGACTGCTCCATCGGTTAGTAAGCGCTGGGGCTCTCTCTCACAGGTCACACCTGTGTGATGTGTGGGCAATATGGTGGAGAGGCAGGCATGGGCTGTCAGAAGGACAGTGTCACCCGCTGTGGAAGCCTTGGCGATTTAGGTACGTGATTCATGAGCAAAGCAAGAAATGACTCTTACGGGCATGGTCCTAAGATCCCAGATGGCTAATGGATTTCATCCTCTTTCCTTCATTCTTTATAGAATTAACCAAAGGCCTTCTACAAGCCAGGCACTGTTCTAGGTATTGAAAATGTACCTGTAAACAGAATAGGTAAAGCCCCTCTCTCATCATGGAGCTGCATGAGAGTCTGGTTCCATGGGTGGTGGCCACCTCAAGCCCTGGATTTTTGAGAGATTGCTCAACTGCATCCAAGCTCGTGGGAAAAGTCATGGTTGATGGGGGATCAGACATGGGGATGGGATGGAACAGGGACAGTATATACCGTATATCCTCCAACCCTGCCCAGGCTGCTAGGTGAGTCCCACAGCCAAGCTGATGAGCTGACATGGTAGGGCAACAGGGCTGTCATGACCTGCCCGCGTGCTGGAGGGTGAATGGCCAGAGGTTGGGGTAGCGAAGGGGTACAGCAACAGCATGAACGGCAGCAGCTTTCCCCCCTTGCTTTCCACAGCCAGAATTTGCTCTCAACTTTTTACTGTAGAAAGGGAGGTACCTGTTCTGCCTCACTCCAAATGCTCCTCCAGTCTAGTGTAGGATGGGAATGCCCCTTCTATAAGGAGCTTCCGGTGCTAAGACTGGGGTGGGGGGGTGGGGTGGGCAGGAAGAGGTTAAAATTAGGAAGGAGAAGAAAGACATCACATTCAAAGAGAGGAGGACTTAACCCCCAAATAAAAACATGCCACCCAGTGCGTGCTTCAATGGTACGCTTGGAGTCTGCTGGACTGAAAGCCTTGTCTATGGTCCTCTGATAAAATAATTAATTCATCCAAATTTATATGCTTATTAGAAGAGTCTGTTAGATTCAACAACTTCCTGGCTCTTTTAGCCCCAATTTTAGTGTCACACCAAATTCCTCCATCTTCAGAGGCTCCCTGTGGCTGGAGCCAGCTAATGACACGTGGGCTCTTGTGGCCCACTGGGGAGAAATGCTGCCGAGCACGGGGTTTCCTGGGCCTGGGTGCAGGGCTTCGAAGACGGCTCATAAAGAAAAACAATGAGTGAGGAGCTGATTAAGCATCAATCAGTTCCACCTGTCTCCCAACCTGAAGGAGCACCAGACTCGCTTCCCTCTGCAGTGAGTCTGACGAGTGTGCGGATCCCATTCATTCTACCGATGTTTGCTTCTCCGTATCTCCAGTTCTCCACTTTCAACGTGGATTGGAATAAATCGCTTTTAAATTGCTCAGAGACACAGAGGAAGGTGTTAGAGGGAGAAAAGGTTATAAATGCAAAGCATGACTGTTCTTTAGTGTCATTATTTCAAAGCCCGGGATCCATTCATTTCTGTGCCTGCTGCTGTGTTCTGGGTATGAGGGGAGTCTCTGCAACACACGGCCTCATTTTCATCGTATTTGCCAACTATTTTAGCCATAATTCCACTTGGAGTGTTTTAATATATTCCAGTCAGATGAACAGGCAATCCAAAATGGGATCAGTGACATCCTGTGAAGGCACCAGTTTCTCAAGGACAAATATATGCCCCTCACACTCAAAATTCAGGCCGCAGTCCTCGGCTGTTTGGTGACCTCCCACATCACGGCTCGGACACCACGGGCCTCTTCTCTTTTCCTCCCCAGGACATCAGGGGCCTCAGCTTCGGCCTATTTCCCACTCTCTGACAGGGTAAGTGGATGGTAGGGGAAGTAAGGGTTCTTTTAAAATTTCCAAGGCTGAGTAAGACATTCACGAGGCTGGGTTAATAGGAGTGCGCGAGACAGTAATGACACGCTGTTGAAAACCAGCGCTGCCAAATGTAATTTTAAAGGAGCTTGAGCTTTTCCCACCATCTGATGTGGGGAAAAGTAAAATGAGGCAAATGGCAAAAAATAGCATTGCCACTAAAGGGCCCGGACATTCTAACGATTCTAAAATGTCATCCTGAGACAGAAAAAGAACGGGCAGCCGAGAGTACAAACTGGGGAACGAACACACTTCACTCCTGGGTTGTCACGAACAGTCATTGAACTACAGATGACCTTGCAAGGAAATGAGATCTTAATTAGTACAAACCAGATCTTCGGCCAAGGAGATAAATAATTTACCTAACTGTTTTATTCATGGCACCACCAAAATGACTTGGAGGTAGAAATGATCAAATGCATTCACATAAAGAGAAACTGAGGCAGAAAGGAGGTACATATGCTGTTGGCTGGTGAGTGTCCATTAAGTGTTCTCCAGTTTGAGTGTTTACTCATGAGGATGGTGCCTTTAAGGGCCTAGCAGAGCTTTAATTTTGCAATCAATCAATCAATCAATCAATCCATGAGTTAGGGTCGCCTGCCAGGCAAAGTGAGTGACTATGGGCCAGCCGAACGCTCTAGCCTACTTTCTCCTGATTACGATGAAGTTAACAACAGCACCTTCTCCACCTACCTCTTTGGGCTCTTGTGAGAACAAACAGGGCAGCGTGTGTGGATATGCTTTCCCAAATCCAAGTGTCACACAATGATGAGAAATCGCTCTGAAGCCACAGAGCCTCTCACCCACTCAGCCTTCCCCCTACCTTACGAACGAAAACCCCGCCAGCCAGCCAGGCCCCAGAACTGAGATAGTCACTGTTGATAACAAGCTGCCCTGTGCCTTAAGGAAGGGATCGCACTTGTTTTCTTCACTCTAACAGTCCTTGCACCATGTCTGGCTCTTCAAAGCCAAACTCGGATCTATTTGCAAGTCCCCTAAGGTCACGTGGTACTTTCCCGGCAGAATTATAGGCAGTGGGGCAAAATGACGCTTTCATCACACCACTAAAATAGTTCTCCATCAGTGGCTCCCCCAGGAACCGACCCGATGGGGTCTGAGGTCCATCTATGCCTGCGACAGTCAGCCCCTCAGCCCCTCAGCGAAGGTTTCCTCCCACTCTTTCCCCGGCAACAGAGCAGCTGGGTGGCTTTGTGGCTCCCTCCGGAATGTGTCTTCTCTGCTTCCAGCACGTGGCCCTCCCTCGTCTCTCCTGACGGCAGGCCCGCCCTGCCCAGCACCCACCTCCAAATCTTTCACAGTGCCTTCCCTGCTCCCTGAGCCCGAAGGGACTCTCCCTGCCCCCTGCCCCCGTCCCGTCTGAACTTCTTCAGGGTCCACTACCAACTTTTTGAATGAGGAGGCGTGAGGAAAAGCCAGTTGGGGGGCTGATTCCTTGAAGCCAGTGGGGAAGTGAGGGAGCCAGGCACCCCAGGCAAGCTTGCTGTGACAGCCGCTGCTTGATCACGAGGTCTGACCCTCGAGACAGGGCCTTACCTTTCCTGGTTGCCACCGTATCCCCAGCCCCTCACTGGACGCCTGGCACAGCGTGGGTCCTTGGTAAGTAAGTTTTAAACCATAGCAACGTCCTTCCATGATTAACTTTAAAGCCACAGCTGATCTAGAAAGCCACTGCCCAGAAATGACCTAACGAGTTACTGCAGCATTGAAAAGACAGCGCGAGAGATTCTGACCCCATTTGCAACCCCAACAGAAACAGACTGTAAACCACACCACTGATGGATTTTTACAAAAATCACTAAAAACCTACCTTGGTTTCTCGGAGAAGAAACTGCAGGTCTCGTCCACTGAGGATACCGTGGTTTTTCACGTAACTGGGAATATTCTTCGTGCTGGAGCCGTAAACAGTCGCGTGTACTTCCATGTAGGTGTGAATAATGTCCAAATAGATTTTCTTATTCTAAAGAGGGAACACAAAGGGAAGGCATTTGTTTTTTTCTTTTCATTCTAGTAACAACCTGCCTCATAGCTGGAGGCCACAGAGACAGAGTTCTTAATATAGAGGTTGCAGGAATTTGGCATTCCAAACCCACAATATTTCTTTCAAAAGTAATCTGACTGGATTTTGAGGGCAAACATAGTCATACTGCCGCTGTACAATTCTGTGAGAAGGAACATATTATGTAGCAATATATTACTGAATACCAATGATAGCTCAAGGCCAATTGCTTTAAAGTATTATCCCCACTTTGTAAATTAGCAGGGACCCAGCACTTTGCATTTGGCTCCTCTGCCTCATGGGGCAGGAAGTGTGGGGAAGGAAAGCCCAGAGAAGGCAGTCAATATTTATCTGGAGATGCTAAGCTGTCCCCGAGGAACGCAAACATCCCCAGCTCTTGCCAGTATTTCTAGTGATGATTAACGTATGTTGTCAGAACTGGATCCCACCTAGTTGGGATGAGGGGGAGACGAGAGTTTCCCACAATACGCATTGACTGACTCGCCATCTGGCGAGATAATGAGCATATCCAGGTAGACAAAAAATGGAAAAAAGATTAAATGTAAACTTCAATGAACCCTGAACCATTCAAAAGTAGTTTCATTTTTATTAGAAGCAAAGCAAAACAAAACCTCTTTTCTGTACTGAATTTCGAGGCACGTTTTCTAAATCAAAACCACCCGGGAAGTGGAAGCGACTCTTTTTCCCTTCCTCTTCACGTTTCCGAGTGACTAAGTAGCATAAGCTGGATTTTGTAGGTTGCTTTTTCTTTTTTCTTTTCGAAATTTGAAAGATTCAAGTTCTGCAATGTTTTCCAGTTGTACAAAAGTGGGACAAGCTTTTTTTCTCATTCCAAGCCCATTTTCACACACTCCAGGAAAATGTATTACTAGCCAGTTCTATGACTAGAGACCGCAAGGGATGTAGGGGTGTGGCACCAGCAGCCACCGAGCTCAGAGAAGGGGAAGGGGCTCTGCTGGGGGGAGGGCGGCAGTGCTTCCCAGCCTCCTCACAGTGTTCTGAGACGGGCGCAGGGCCTGCCCTCTGCCATGCGCTGCCCTGGTGGGGGATATTACAAAGGGCTCTCCATTTTGTGGGAGGCATGTTTCAAATCACGTATCAGAAGTCTTCATGGCTGGAAAAACAGCCTCGTTCCCTTCTCTGTCTTATGCACCACGATGATTTTGTTCAGAAGCAACCAAGTCCATGCCTGAACTCTAATGTATGCATTAAATGAAACACTTGGCCTGAAAGTTTAATTTCATGCCATGTTTGGTATGGCTGGAAGATGTTAAATTCATCACTTCAGAGATGTGTACCCTTGAATTAATGCAGAGGTGACTAGAAACAGTTTCTAAACCCTGACTTCCCATTCATAGCTTGAATCAAATTTAGGATCACCTCCGTGATATACATTAATTTGAGGGGTTCTAGGATATGGGTCTTGTGCCAGATGTACCTGGTGATTCCTGTCCCCACAAACCCCCTTCTCAGGGACTCCATCCCCACCCACAGCCCCCTGGTGAGGAGGGAGGGAATTCTGTGACTCCGGCCCCCTGCCACTGCTGACCAGCCCGGGGTGTGTCTGACCCGAGGGGGACCCATCTCTAGGCTGGCCAGGAGCCTGGGACGTGGCCAGGCTCCGGAGGGTGAGCTGAACCAATCAGACCCTCTCTCAGGAGCTCAGAATCTGGTACACAGAGAGATTCCTGCCAGATGGCCATGGGCTATAGAGCAGAAAGGTCACTTTGTGTCAGAGTCTGGGCGATTAGGAGCCAGACACAAGTTCTGAAGAAGGCAGCTGCCAGAGGTGGAAAGAGAGCCAGGTGAGAGTTGACAGGAGGAAAGGGGAAGACCGAGACAGACAGTTGGTGATCAGAGGGACCAGTGACTGAGACCAAGCATGACAGAGAGACAGGGCATGGGAGGGAGAGGAGGAGGAGGAAGGAAGATGGTGGGAGCCCATGAGGAAAGCAAGCACAGAGACACGGAAGAGCGGAAACCTGGTCCCGGAGCTGCTTCTGGGTCCCACTCCATCCACAGCTGTCCCCTAGTCCCAATTTCCCAGATTTTTCTGGATCCTTCCAGCTATAATAACAGCAGCTGCCTTCCCCCATTCCACCCCACACTTTCGCTGGAGCTACTCTGGGTGGATTCCTATCATCTAAAAGGAGGCCTGTTGGGACATCTTGTTGGGCTTTGTTCAGGGACTGGGCAGGCATCTCCCCTTTGAGCAAAAAAGACAGGCTTCCCTATGAAAAGCCAGCTGCTAGCTGGTGAAGATGGACCAAAGGCCCTTGAATTAGGTCCGCAGTGAGGGACAAAGAACAGTGAACGACCCACACGGTTCCTGTCCTGGAGGTACTCACTTCAGGCAGACCTCAGATTAGGATTCCCAGACCCAATGCCCGGGGAGTGAACAATATACAGGACACAACACACGTATCGCCATCAGTTCCAGAAAAGGTGGGGCCTCCTTGAAATATAGCAAGGTGGGGTGGGGGGAAGCTCAGGCAAATAAAAAGCAGCATATGCAGGGGCTAATAATAAAGTCTGCGAACTTATTAACATGAAGGCCTGGTCAAGTCTGAAAGGAGAAATTATCTTCAAAGAGGATTTATGTAATTTCACGAACGAGAAAATCAAACAGGTTATTAGAGGAGAACAAATGTTTCCAACGTAACTCTAAGCTTTGAAGCTGACCTGACAACTAGGTAATTCAGCCCAGGCCTCTTGTTACCACCTGTGCAGAGTGCTGCAGACATCGAGTGAGGGTGACTCACGCCACGGATCCCAGAGAAAGGTGCCCTGGAGTCACCCACACGGAGCTGCCTCCCCGCTCAAAGGTAATGTGCACTGGATGCTACAGGAATCCAAAGAGCCAACTCCACCTTAGGACCATTGCCTGAATTTCAGGTTCAAATGTCCAGCTGCCTCCTGAACCTGTCTACCTTGCTGGGCTGCAGGCACTTCCAACTCAACAGGTCAAAAAGGGAATCCATCACCTTACGTTCCCAGACCAGCGCCACCCTGTGTGCTCCTCATCTCAGTGACTGACATTAATCTGCACCAGATTCATTAAGTTCCTGCACTAGAATCACCCTTGTCGTTCCACACATCAAAGTAGGCAAAAAGCCCTCTTGATTTCTGCCTCCATAGTATCAAATAGGCCTTGATCCTAGCCCACCTTGACGGTGCCAGGATTAATACAACCGGCATCTTAACACATCTTCCTGTGGCTCAAAAAGGTGATGCACCTTGTCCAAGCTTTCGACAAGTGAGCAGCAGCTTTGGGACTGACCACAGAACAATCTGTGTGGCTCAACATCACTTTTGAACCATGCAAAGCAATGCTATGCACATGGACATTTGCTGTTAAGTACAAAAATATGCATGGGGATGACAGACTCCACCTGCTGGATACAGATTACTGAGGGGGCAGGGAGGGCTTGGGGAGGTGGATGAGATTTAATGGTGTTTGTAATATATAATTTCCCTGTTAAAAGTCGCAAAATATTAACATCTACGTAGTTGGGTGGTGGGTGTTTGATATATTAATTAAAATAGAAAAATTTTAACTACATGCAATCAAGGACAAAGAGAAACCGGTCTGTAGGACTTCAAAGCTGGCACCACTGGCCCCTCACTGGAAGGCTCAGCTCCCGCCACGAAGAGAGGTTCAAGGGATCCTCTTCTCTCTTCGACGTACATTGCTATCTTTTGGGTTTAAGAAATAGGGTGCTGATGTTTCTTAAAGTAACCATGGCCCAGCCTGCCTTCCCCAACCCTTGGGTAGGACAAAAGTGGGGAGGGAGATGTGCAGGGATGGGGACGCTTTCCAGCATCTCCCTCCCTTCCTTTATTTTAGATATTCAGGCCCAGGGCAAAAGTGCTACCATGAACCGAGTGTCTTGGATTTTGTTGATCCAAGAACTGGATTCAGATCACTCCCTAGAAAGCCTTCCCTGTCTGATCTAAGAGACCAAGGTCAAAGAAAATTATCTACTCCTCAAACCCTATCACCTACAAGTTAATGAGATGCAGTCAGAAGCCTCTTGCACTGACCATCAAACCCAGGCAGGCCACCGCCCCTTTCTGGGGGCTGAGAGAGAGAAATGCCTCCAGTCCCAGCTGAGCAACTTGGGAGCCCCAGAATGCTGTTCAACAGCCTCTAGTTCAACTTAAACTCATATTAAAAACAACCAATCAAACTGATTAAAATTCAAATCTACCTAAACTCATCTGGAGGTGGGGGGAAGGGGAGATGAAAAGGCAAAGGAGAGAACGTGCTGGAGCAAAGGAGGAATGTTTTCCGTGTGTCTGTGGATGCTGACGATTGTCGCTGGAGGCAGGTGCATTTGCAGAATTGGTCATAAGCTCTCCGGAGCTTGAGTAGAGAGCGTTAGGAAAACAATTCAATCTAAAGCAATACCAGTGCGCTTCTACAGCAGCGGGAGAGGCAGAAAGCACAAGCAGAGAACCACGAGCCCTTTCCTTTCCCAGCCGGTGAATTAGGAGTAGAGGAATGTTCTTTGGCAAATGTCAGTATTCTGAGCTTTTGGTTGCACAGGGATCTTCTTGCCCGCAATATCCCTGCTCCCCACTGCAGACAACATACATCCTTTCTCCGGGAACCCTACTCCCCTCATCCACTTGGCGCCTGTGACTTGTCAGTTTAAAATAAATAATTCTATAGCTCTGCCCAGAGTTTTTGGTCCAGGGAAAGCACCTGGTGAGTGCTGAGCCCGTGGGCATCTTCCCTAGGAAGAAATGACGGGTGTGGAAGAGCCAATCCCTCCCCAGAGTCCAAAGCTGTGCTGCCACATCCAGCGTGGGTCCCGTCACACGCAGGTCAAGCTCCAGACAGAGATAACGAAGTCCTTGCTTCAAGAAGGCCAAATGCGAGACAGCACGTGTTCTCTGAGCTGATGCCTTGTCCGAATGGTGACGCATCCTCCCGA